ACCACTTAAGAGTGTACATGTACTCCACTGACAAGGAGGAAACACTCGGGATGGCCTATTTCCTTTTATCATCTTTTCTCAACATTTGTCATTAAAGTATGATAAGATCTTTTATATCAATCTAAGGTCAATATAATGTCATTACATAAATGTTTGTTCAAATATTTGTTTATTGCATCTCAAACTCCTTCACTTCTGAGTGTGTACCTACATCTACGTGTAGTTTAAGTCTTATTTGTATGTCCACATAAAATTCAGTTAGCTAAAAGCAATAGGATGGCAGCTTTCAAGTCTGTACATTTAAACAAAATTAAGCTGAAACATTTGCCCAGGGATGGCATGGAAAAGTATACATTAACAAATTAAAGTAACATTAGATTCCACCAGTATCAATATTTGCAATCCATACGACTGTCAATATATCTTTGAAATATTAATGAGACTTGCACTTGTATTGAGGATGATCAGACCGGGTAAGTCCACTGCCTGAGCCGTTTCCTTGTCACCTATTAAGAAAATAACGCCCCCTCAATGCTATTAAAGGGAGAGGCCTTGCCTTTCATTTTTAGTGCATTTTTGGTGTAAGATGATTTAACGGACAGAATCTGGACAATCCGTAGGTATTAACCAACGTGCTTCGAGACAACACGTGGGTTATGTACAGTATGAGCGTAAAATACAACAATTTGATCTAATGTTTGTCTGTTGATTATTGTTTGGGAGTGATTGTGTTGGTAGCACCTACAGGCTACAATGTACAGTGTAAGTTCAGGTGCCATGTACAAGAGATCATGTAGAAGAGCGTAGAGATAGAGTTTACCAAAATGATTCCTTTTTTTTTAAATGTCCCCTTAGAATTGGAAAAATTGGTAGGTTTCAAAGAATTAAAAAAAATATATAAATATTTTTTTACATTATTGAATGATAGAAGTCATGAAATCATTATACAGGAATTTAAGAATAAGCAAATTTAATAGAAAACACAATGACACAAAAACAAAACAAAACAAATCACATTTAAAAGCAAACAAACACAAAGCATACAAAGAAACCAATGAACAGAATATAGAAAAGTCCCTTCTTGATGTATTACACCAGTAATCCTGTAGGACAGTGAATACTTTTCCAATTTAGCAAAAAAAGCAAACAAAAGAAATACCCCATAATGTACAGTAGGCCTAAAATTGTGTGTTAGACCTGATTAAAAAACGAAGTGTTCATTTTTTCTTTCATTGCTAAAGTTACCGCCCTCTCTGCATACACTGATTTTTTTCCTTTTCAACTTTTCAAATTACATGTTTATGTACCTATACTCTCAAGATGTATGCTTCAGGTTTTAATTCTTTGTTTCATTCTGATATACATGTACATGTTAACACGTTTCTACTATGGTGGAGCTACACAGTATCTTACTACAGTATCTTCCATCCTGACTTATATGTACAGCACTGTATATTTTCAAACCCACACTTGCTTGAGCTTCTTATGATCTATGTTACCATGGTTACTGCATATACAGTGTTCCCCTAGTTATGTCTTTGACATGGTGACCTTTATGTCAAAGTGCACACACGCACACAAACCCAGCCTTAAAGGGGGTACACTTGGATGTGTAGTATTGTGGTAAAAAACTGCCTCAATGTGTCTCTACAATATAGTATGTATTTTTATATTCAAATTTAGCAGGAGGGGATAAAATACTGGTATATTTATTTGTATAACCTAGCTTATAAAAATCAAATAAGACCTCAAAAATAGATAAAAACAACAAAAGAGAAAACTTAAAATCATTCTTGTTCTGTTTCAGTCAAATGTGGATTTAGAGGGTCTTTTTATAGACAAGAACTTTAATTCCAGAAACAAAAGAATCCCTCTTTACTTTCAATTATTGAAACTATATTTTTCAAGACAAAATTTGCCATCATTAGTGTTCAGAATTTTGAATAACTTTGAAAGCTAGCTGGAATTTGTCTTGCCAAACATGTCTGTTTTTTTCTTCTAAATACCAATTTTTACCCTTGCAGCTTTTTACCCATTTGCTGCTTTACATAATAACCTACTGTAGTCACATACACTATAAACTCTTCATAATGATACAAGTTTCTACTTTGTTAAGCAAACTTTTTGACCTTCCTTACTTCGTGTTTTGGGGGGCTATTAGTTTATGAACACACCCACTGACAGTCGAAGAAGTCCAAATCCTGTTTTTTGTTCCTCTTGTATACCAAGTGGGTTGTAACTTCTGTCTAATATTTGCTCAATCTTTTTCCATTCGCCTTTCCTTTGGTCAGGTCTGGGATTGCTAGTGTTAAGTGTTTATTATAAAATGACATCATTCACTAGACAAACTCACCATACCATGAACGCCCCAACAGAGCAATGTTTGTACTATAGAGTATAGAGGGAGACTCAGCCATAACAGAATGGGCAGATGTATATTAAGTCTCATTGCAAACTTATTATTTCAGTTTTTCAAGTTTAATTTGTCTACAAAATATACATAAAAGTTATCTTAAATAATAGTCTAGTAAGTATAATTACACGTATGTACAGTCTACAAGTTTGATTTGTAAGTAAAATACATACTGTACTGTGTACATTGTACTTGTGCTATTTTGGCCAAGTACAGTCCATTGACCAATGAACTAATCTAAATGAATTTCAAAGCAGGCTGGAATTTCTTCTTCTTCTTCTTCTTCCTTTTGAGTACAGACCTCTTTACAGAGTATTTTCGTACTATACTGTGGGTGTGTGCAGGTGGACCACTACACCGGGGTTTCCCCCTACTCTTATACGAATAGTGCAGTGGGTTCTTAACGTGCAAAGGTAGTGACTCTTCTCTACATGGGGCCTCCATTTAACGTCCTATCCTATCTATTAGCTGTATTAGCGTCTATGAACAAGGGAAGGGGCATGTAAATCTACGTGTATAAGGCGCACCCCTATTTGGGGGGGGGGGGGGTTGTTTTGTTGTTGTTTTATTGCCGAAAACCCACGCGGATGGACCTTCATTTAACATCGAGGTGTAGTTGAAGGCGCTGATTTGTGCTTGTGAACTTGTCACAAATAATACTAACAATGTCATTTTTAGAAGAATGTGTAAGATCATTAATGTAAATTAAAAACAATAGAGTACCTAGGATAGAACCTTGTGATACACCATTTGTTATAGAAAACAAATGTGAGGAATTATTATTATAAACTACATATTGAGATCTATTAGAAAGATTACTTTCAAACCAAGATGACAGACAAATTTGATTGTTGTTGTAGTTTCCGAGTGGTGAGTCAACACACTGATTACTGAGCTGGGAGACATTGCCAGGCATAGCGCCATAAATCAAAAATTTAAAATTAAAAAAAAAAAGTGTGCCTTACACATGGAGATTTACGGTACACTTTGTATACGTATTTAAAGTATGTAGGATTCAATACTCTTGAATCCTATACTTTCTCTCTTAGTTTAATAAGGTAGAGGACCTGATGATAATGGGAGCCATGTGTACAACACTCTATACAATGTGTGATAACCTTGTCATACCCATCTGAACAAACTTTGCTTTCCTTTCCCCATGATTGATTTGAAAAGGTTGAAGGGCCGAAAGGTTGAATCTACCAGGGATATTGTACATGCATCTAGGTGCACCATAGACGGCTACATAATTTACATGTTCATGCAAAAAGATGATAACCCAAACAATACGGTAGTCAAATTCAATGAAGAAGGGAAAGGAAAAAGATTGTGGGTAATTAGTAATGAATTATTCCAGATTCGAAAGGAACAGAGGTCTCCTTTGATTCTGTGACATACATGTACATTGTACAGTGTACATGTACATGTGTACAAGTGTAAATGACTTGAACTGATAGAGCAAAAAAAAATATATAAGGCATTATTCATTCGTTTGATTTACAGGTGAATATGAACACTGTCAGTCCAGATTGGGAGTTTAATTATTCTGCCTACCAAGAATTAGTAGGCTCCTACTATATCCTGAGCTATGTCTCTAGAGTTGAGACCCGATATCTTGTTGTCTTGGAAATGATAAGCTACACATCTATCATCTATCATATGATGAAAGGGAGCACTGTGTGGGCATAGCCTCATGGGTTATATTTAGAAGTTGAATACTGTGAACCTTGCATATGTTAGGACCGAAGAAAGCAAATTAACTTGTGTGATTTTCAACTTACAACATACAGAAACCAAGGAAGTGCAATAGCAAAAGTTCATTGGTCTTCATACCTCATAAAGCTATGATTTTATTTGTAAAGCAAATGGTCATATACTCATACTTGTCAGCAGAAGTTGATTGGAATTCATACCTGTGTTTTAATTTGTGATAAAATAGGCAAGCAAGTAATGATACATGAACGTGTAAAATCTTCATCATAGATACACTCTTTAATATAAAACAGAATCATCAGTGTGACAAATGTGAGGAAAAGATCTGTAGGAATATTACTGCACTTATCTCCTGTGAACTCACTGATCTGCACAAGTCTGTTTCAGATCATTGGGTCCGTGGTTAAAGTGAATGCATCTCCTTCAAGACAATTGTGTCATTTGTGTGTGATTGGTGCATGTACTGTACATGATGTATGTATCGGAGAGCTGTAGGGATATAAGACCCAATGTCATAGTTTGCACCTGCCTGAGAGGGCTATGGCGTTCATGTCAAATGTTGATGATGTCCTAAGGCGATTTCAAGTGCACACAGGTTTTTGTACAGTACACTGTATGTAGAATTGTCTTATTGTATGGAAGTCTGAAACGCAAGGCTGGACATGTCTAGCTAGTTATATGCTATTTTCTGGGTCAAATTCACAAAATGTATCGTTCTTTCTCTTGTTTTGTTCATTTAATGTCAGCTTTCCATGATATTTTTTTTAATTTTTTGTTTATATTGTACAATATGTTCATGTAAATTATATAATGTGTCATCTCTTACTGATATTGGATACTACATGTATGTCTTTGTCTTAAATGGTAAATTTATCAATTGAACACAGATTTTAAGTGAAAATTTTCTTCAAAATTAAAGATGTGCATGTACTGTACATATTTATTAAGTTTGTCTAAAGATTTTTTTTAAACAACACAGGGGAAATTGATTAACAAAGTGTGCTTGCATGTGTATAAATCATGTGCGTGGACCTGGTTATTGTCGTACTGTTATTAAGTACTTCCTGCATTCTTTCACAATGTTTTATAGTTGGTAAATTGATACAATGGGGAATGTTATTGGATTTAGTGATTTCATGTCCTGTCCTTGGTCTAATATATAATAGATAAAACAAACTGTGATTACATAATTCACAATTTCCATGCATATATATCAGGAGATTATGTGGAACAGATACGTACAGTATGGTACATGTACATGTACAGACACTTAGAGTGTCACATCCTATTTTAACCTGTCTACAGGTACCGGTATACTGTACATGTAGATTAGCTGTATTTACACTTGGAAGTTATTTGGGTAATATATCAGTTCTTCACTGTGTGTACGTTCATTGTTCAATATAATTATATTTATCTGTTTTATTTAATATTATTCTTTTCATTATTGTTGTTGTTATTAGCATTATCATCTCCCCAGGAAAAAATGTTTGCTGCCCTTGTGTACTTTTTTTCTTCTGGTGTACTTTTTTTCTGGTGTAGACTGGATAATATATTTGTCTGTTTTTGGATGTGATTTTAAAATGTTCATGCTTTTGTTATTATTGGCCTGATGTACAATGTACAATGTACAGTGTAAAATGTAGAGATGTTGTGGTCTAGTGGATAAGTCACCGGACTGTGAACCACAAGGTTCCTTGTCGCAGCACTCATGTCCTTTGGCAAGGCATTAATTTGCAATTTTGCAATCGCCCCACTCCAGCCTGTTGAGGACTTGAAGTTGAGGTACATGGGTATCTGGCTGGAATTAATTCCTTAAAATGCTTGAGCAATTACAGTGTAATGACAGCCATGCTAAAGCTGGGGTTTTAATAATGGAGTAGGAGTGTGGAGTTTGACAGATCAAGTGCTATGTATATACAAGACTCCACTATTAACTACCATTATGATCATTATTATTGTTATTATTATTATTATTATTATTATTATTATTATTGCGTGTAGCATTCGCCTTGTAAAATTGTCATTTTGCAGTACTACAATGTACTGTACGTACTTCATGTTGAAAGCATTTAGCAGTACCGTATATACGCATGTTGGGTATACATGTACATGTACACAAACAAGTTTGTACTTTGTAGACCTACATGTACGTCATCGCGTACATATCTGAATAACAGTCTTGGAGATTGGTTTACAGTTTACATTAAGCTCTCCATCAGGTCAATATGTACAGTACAGAATCAGATACATATTATAGGTTGCGTTGTGAGCACTACACAGAGGCTGTGTAGGTTGGAATGGATTCCATCTCCCTGGGTAGATGACTAACCCGAGTGCTATGGACTATATCTTGAAAATTTCATCTCCATCTCAAATGAAGTCAAGAATAGGAAGCCTTCATTGTAGATGCTGTCCCAAGTACATGTACAGTACATGTACCAGCATTCGTTGTGTAACTTCACAATAAAGTCATTATATTTTTCCTCGTCTGAACAAAACGAAATGTTGTATCCATAAACGTGAGTGTGAGCATCATTTCAAACGAAAACCTATAGCTTGAACAGGCTGATATGTCTTTGTTAATCCGGATCTGAATGTATTTTCTTTCTTCTCCTTGCAGGGAATGCCAGTTTTGATTTGGAGCACATCAAGGGGGCGTAGCAGTGAGTGGAGGGGTGCTTGGAGGGGTGCTTGGAGGGGTTCTCTGCCATCATGTTTTTCATCACAAGGCCATTGCGAAAGATCACATGGTTTTTACCCTTCTATGGCAGGGTATGTATTCATGCCTTATTACATGTACAGTGTATGAAAGGAGCCCTATATCTGTGCACCTTACATTTCACCTACCAGTACACTGACAAGAATTTTCTATCGCATTCCCCTAATGCTTGTTCTCATTTTATTCCTTATACTTTGAGAGGGTTAGTGTGCCCAAAAAGTTGTTAAAACTTTTGCAAGAGCAATGTCATTTCCACTAGAAAAGGCGGCGGTATCATTTTGACATTGTAAAAACAAAGGTGCACATATCTGCTATATTCACTTTACACAAAGTTCAGGACTTGTTGTTGTTGAAAGATTAAAAAAAAAGATTTTTAGGATTGTGAATAAAAGTATGAAATTCCTAATTTCTCAATGGCTTTTAATAGTTTTTTTAGTGCTTCTAGCTATAAGAGAGACAAATAGTTTGTGTTGGACTGTTGGTTGCCTGTTTTCTTTGAATCCGAATTGCGCATTATTCGTAGTTACACATACAATATTTGTGCAGACAAGTGCAGTGCTTGGACATGGGCACTCCAGACATATACAGTGTATGTTCAATAGTCATATTATTCATAGTTGTGTGCATCATTGACAGTGAAGAGATTTCTTTCAGGCCTTAATATAAGTTAAACTTAAAGTTTAACATAGACTTTTGCAACGTGCTAGGACTACCCACTATGAATATGACGGACAAAGAGAGCGGACAAAATATACAGTTCCTCAGGGAGACAAAGGAACATCCCTTCACTGCTATTATGCAAAAAAATGTGTAGAATGGGTGAATATGCATGTGACACATTCTTACACAATAGCAGTGAAGGGATGTTCCTCTACCTGAGGAACTGTATATTTTGTCCGCTTTCTTTGTCAGTCATGTTCATAGTGACCCGTTTCTGCTGCAAAACCTTAAAGCTTGTTCAGATATGACGCGGTATTAAAACGGCTGCAAAAAAAGAAGTCACCCTTTCTTTTACATATGAATGATAACTGTATAGGGTCCTACATAAGCTCTGTGTTATAAGATGCTGAAATGTGACGCACATTCAATTCAATTAATAAGCAAAGCCTACACTACACTCTTAAAGGTATTACAAAGTTATGGGAAATTTTGACAAATGGGTTGATAGTGATTCTTTACAATTTTGATATATTTGGATGCCTCTGTGGATGTATTAAAAGCACTAGAAATTGTATCCCCTAAAACATTTCTGCTTTCATGTAAAATTGAATATCAAAATTTACCGGTGCTCCCGGTAAATTTTTGATGAATTTCAAATAGCGCTTACAGTCATACAATGGTAGCTGCGACCATAACAATCTCAGAATATGTAGCTGTGGTATATAATTTCCGAACGGGAATAGCTAATTAGTCGATTTTAGTCAAGAAACATTGTTTTTATAGCTTAATTAATGTTTTGACCTTGAGAGGGAGCTATACAACATACATGTAAAGTGTTTATGATGGACAATTTCATAACTTTAGACTTGATTTAACGCAACAACGATCACTGAATATTGTAGGATCGCATATGCTTCCAATATGTTCATTTGAACCAAATTCATGACCCCATACCAAAACTTTGTATTACCTTTATTGATAGAGTTACAGTTGTACATACAGTTATTTGCAATATGAATACAATTTGATATTCCCTTGCCGATAAGTGACATCAAGTCATTTCAGAGAAATGCAATATTGTCCCTGGGGTTAAAAGCGAACTGTTATATGATTCTTATCTTGTCTAGATCCTGTCTATAAAGTCATGTGATTTCCTTTGTTTCAATACATGTAAAAGGTCTCAACTCTGCTTTCCAAGCATAAAAAGAAAATTGCTAATGATGCAGGGGCCTAAACGTAGGTCGTGTAGATCTGTACTCAAAATCACAATTTTACCATTTTCATCCCTCATTGATGGTTTCAACTGTTTACCTAATATGTACTTGTGTACATATTAGGTAAACAATGATTACTATCAAAGATCAATTAAACCAGTAAATGATATCCAGTGTGCTGCAAGCAGTATGGACAATTCTTTGTAAATTGTCAACAATAACAAAATGAAAAGAAAGAATTTAAGAGAGGGAGAAGTAGAACTAGAAGTAGAAGAGGGGAAAGGGCTATACAGTACCTGCAGTACTAATAGTAGTAATACATTTTCATAGCACTTTTTCTTTAAAATAATGTACATGTACAAAGCACTTAAAACTCTTCAAACATGTGCTGTAGGTCACTTTTTTTGTTAATCCTTTATTACTGAAATATCATTTTACCAACAGAATAATATTAGGTATGAAACATGACAAACACTTTTTGGGGACATATTTTGAAATATTTGCCCCTTTAAAGGCATCGTTTAACAATCATTAAATCTGAGATGCGCGGCCTTACGTGTTATCAGTGTCTGTGATATGGTTTAGTATCGAAGCCCTAAAAAATCATGATTCAAAATGATCAAGAAGTGCCTCAAAAAAGTAAAAATCTTTGAGTGACCGGTTTTACCATTCTCGTTTTCCCCAATAGACTGTAGTATTATGAAAACTGTTTGGCAAACGCAAAATTTGGTTTTGATTTCCAGTCATAAATCACCTTGATAATCAGACAGGCGATCGGCTTGTAAAAGTCATGGTGTTCCTTCTTGACAGACTTAAAGGTTTATAATTATCATTGCAGCATGAGCCAAATCCAGGATTTTGTTTCAGAATCTGAGACATAGTTACCGGATCCCTTTAAAGTGAAACTAAACTTATCATCTTGAAGAAAAGAAATGTTTAGAAGAGTTGTATTATACTGCTACATGTACATGTACATGCACATGCATTTGGTGTTTCATACATGTAGGCCTATATTATTGTAAACACGGTCAGCCTTATTACTTTATATTTAGTGTTCCTTTTGGACTTGTGTCCATCCTGTCAGGAATAAGAACTAGGTCACATGTAAAAAGTTTATACACTGTTTGTCAAAGTTTTGTATGTATGTACATAAGGTATCAGCTGTTTCAGGCTGTTTGGTTGCCTTCTAGTAGTATAGTCCATGTCTGTACCAGCTAATTGGAATCTATTCTGAATACTCCTGATCAGGATGTTTGTCTTTAGAAATAGAAGCATGTTGTGCCATAATTTGGTAAGATATTGTAATATTTTGCTAGATGTTATTGTTATGCTTGAGCACTAAAATGAAGCTTTGTTTTGGATGTCAGCTTAGAGCTGATTCACTGACAAAAGACTGTACAATTTACATGTACAGGTAGGTGAATTACAATGTGCATACACGTACAGGCCCATTTTTGTAACACTTGAGCTATGAACTCTTTCAATATCGATTGGATAGTTTTGAAAATTGAAAGTGCTCTGTAAATTAAACTGTATTCAAGATCTAATGTCTTTACAACTTTCTTGGTATTGTTCATGAATTTATTCTTGTTGACAATGAATTTGCTGTTCATGAATGTATTTTTTTCATGTCAGTGGAAATAAAAAATCTTGACTCTTGAAACTGGAATCTTGAAACTGGAATCTTGAATCTTGAAATATAGAAATCAAACAAAACACACACCCATAACGTTGTTACGCAAAGTATTTGCTGATGTTTGATAATGCTTTTGTTTTTCTATTTGCATCTTGTAGAGACAAGCACTGACATTGAGCCATCTGCTGTTCTACAGCACCCTGATAGGAGCTGCGCTGCTTCTTTACACATGGCCAGAGCAAGCATTAGACACTCTGAGGAAGACCAACATCAGAGAGTTTGGTTGCACTGATAGCCATGGGTGCACGCAGAGGGGTGGGGATTATCGGGAACCAGCCCCGCCCCTTCCCAGGATAACAGCAGCAGTGAGTGTCAATGCCACTACCAAGACTCCTCTAATGGAGGAGAAGGTGAAACGACTGGAACCTAAGAATTGGAATGGCCAGGGATACATGCCTGTATCTGGTGATAAGGTATAGACTGGGTCTGTTGTATTCTCTCTTTCCTTCCCCTATTCTTAGGCCATTTAAAAAAATATTAGCTTCCCCACCCGCTTCCTTTTTGGGGGCCGCCTCCTATTTTTTTTTTGAAATTTTTTTTTTTGAAAGAAAAAAAAAACTTGAAAAACACTGCTAAAATGGCTCTATTTCTGATTTTAAAAAAATAAATAAAAATTTGGCGGCCATCTTGAAAAAAAATAGCCCCGACTGTCAGGGAAAATCACCATTTTGAGCGGCCATTTTGAAAGAAAAAAAAAAAAAAAAAAAGGGCCTCCTCCTTCCTATATTTCGAAAAAACAGGACGCTAAACATGTTTTTTTTATTTTATTTGGCCTTACCTATCCTAATTCCCTTGTCCATCTCTTCTTCATTTCCTTCCTACAAACGGTACAATAAATGGTACAGGACATTTCCACACATCTTACCCACAAATTTATCTTGCATTGTTGACATGAAGATGAAAATAAAGTTACAAAAACAACATCTGCAGATAGATCTTGATCTAAGTTTGTGCCAGTGCATTGCAAAAGTAAAAGAAGGGCCTGTTTAACGGAACTGCCGTGAAGCATCCAGCACGGGAAGTCGCCATTTTGAATCCATTTCAATATACACAAGAGCTATGGCGCAAAACACAAGAGAGAGGCGCAATGTATACATAGATGTATACAAAAAAAATGCAGATGATAGCATTAGTGCGGGATGGCCAAGCGGTCTAAGGCGGTGATTTTAGTCACATCAACATTTGTACGCAAGAGATCAAATCCCGTCTTCGACAAAAGTTTTTTTTTTTTTAATGTCAAAATCGGGGGTGCGGCCTATGTGGCGCTACGGCCTTATCGTCGGCAAATACGGTATGGTAAAACCGGTCACTCAAAGATTTTTACTTTTTTGAGGCACTTCTTGATCATTTTGAAGCGCACTTTTTTTTAGGGCTTCAATATTACACCATATCACAGACACTGATAACACGTAGGGTCGTGTATCTCAGATTTAACATTGTTAAACGGTCCCTTTAAATGCTAATTTTATTGGAGGAGCTCTCGCCTTTGAATGTTTTTTTTAAACGGATATATGGCGCCATTCAAATGCTGTGAATCAAGTGAAGAGAGACGTGGAACAAAAATCCTGAATAATTCACCAGTGTTTTGAGAGTGAGCTTTTACACTGCAAAAACCAATGGATTTTCGTTTTGAAAACACACACTCCATAGATGGTATTTTCGTCATGCTTATGTGCAGTTGCCTACCAACTTTCGACAAAACTCCAGAATGTGATGAAAACCAATGGTTTTTACTTGCAGTGTAAAATGCCCCTATACTTCTATAGTTAGCTTTTCATTTCCTTCTCATCTTCCTTCTTTTGATGTATTACATGTATGTGTAAATGACATTTCTAAGTGCTTTTAGCCAGTAAGCTCACTTTCTACTCAAAGATCCATGCCAGAAGCCTGGATTGATAACAGACATTGCTAGAGGCAGTATATACTGCAGAGTAATAAGCAATGATTGTAATTTAATCCATGTATTCATCGAAAGTGACTCCGGTACGTGACTTGCGCACATGCATGAGGTACAGAGCTTATGGAAGATACTCAGGATAGTGGTTGTTTCATTAGTTTAAGTTTATTTTCATGTACAGTGTATACATGTATCCATGAAGGTGTTTGGTGAGGACTGATGTGCTTCAGAAAGATGATGCCTTCTTGCGCAGCATAACATCCCACTAATGGTCTCAATTTTATACAGCACTTCACTTGATTAAATTTAAGATGCATGCACATGACTTGTACATGCAGTTTACTTTTAATGTACAATGCAGGATACGTGTGCATGTAGTAGGCCTGTAGTGGAAAAATAAGAAATATGCTGGTCGATGTTCATTTTTTGTATTATTTTTTATATGTAACTGTACACTATTCATAAACTTATTTAGGTTCTAAGGGAACATTTTACCATAATTTTCATTAGTGCTGTAGTCAAACGTTTAACCGTCCGGTATCCGACCGCCCATGGCGGATTCCGTTTTCAATCGGACCGTTTTTTTTTGTTTTTTTTAATAATTTTTTTTAATAATTTTTTTTTTTAAGTTTCGATTTATGCCCCTCCACCTGGCACTATGCCTGGCAATGTCTCCCAGCTCAGTAATCTGTGTGTTGACTCACCACTCGGAAACTAGAACAACACTCCAATTTGTCTGTCATCTTGGTTTGAAAGTATCTTTGTAATAGATTTCAATATGTAGTTTATAATAATAATTCATCCAATTTTTACACAAGGCATACCACAAGGTTCTATCCTAGGTCCTCTACTGTTTTTAATTTACATTAATGATCTAAAACATTCTTCTGAAAACGACATTGTTACTATTATGTGTGACAAGTTCACAAGCACAAATCGGCGCATTCCCGCTTTTTCACACGGACCTGGTTTGCTTTGCTTTTTTGTTTTAATCGTTTAACCGAAAACCGTCCGGTTTTGACTGGCGGTTTAACGGAATTGGAGATATCCGTGATGTTACAGCACTAATTTTCATATTTTTAATCTCTCATACGACCTTTCATGATAGTTTTCATCACCTTACATTCCCTTACATGGCATGACATATTGATAACGATGAAGATGATGATGATTAGGACAAAGATGAGGATAAGGATGAGGATGATGATAATGATAATGGTAGTGGTAATGCATTTAATAATGAAGAATCATAGCACATAAATGATGTCCTTTTTAATATTTTCCTCACAGAAGCCCCTTCGTCATTGCAAGCAGTGTGCCCTCGTCACCAGCTCCGGGCATCTGAGTGGTAAAGGGATGGGCAAAACAATAGACAGTTCAGAGTGCATTATACGAATGAACGCAGCACCAACGCTAAATTACACAAAAGATGTAGGAAGTAGGACTACATTCCGTGTCATTGGACACAGAAACTTTCCCCGTATGTTTGACACAGAGGCCGAGAGAAGACTCTATTTTGTGAACACAACGACAAAGTCGGAAGCAATCGTAGTACTTTGGCTGTACAGTGTGAATGTGAACAGGAATTTGGAGCTGATTTTGTCGAGGAAGTTTGCTCAGAAGTACAAGGATGTCTCGTTTTTTCTCACTAAACAAGAGATCATGAACAGGAATGTGGAGCTGTTTTATCAAGAATTGGGAACATCAAAGTAAGTCATCAAGTTTTAAGGCCATCATGCACTTTGTGAGTTGTGACCAAACTTAAATTTGATTACATTTTGAGAGAAATTACAAATGGACAAAATTCAAAATTTGAGATATTTACATTTTACTTTGTTTCTGATGTACATGTACATGCTCATCTTGAATAGTAAGATTTACATACATGTACTGTATGTATAGTGAAATAAATGTGCATGTTTTTTAGACTGCTAGTTGGAAGGAAAAAAATGTGTAATCAATATGACATCACACCATCTGCACAATTGTCCATCAATTGTTTTGTTACCAATTCAGGCCTTATCCCCTACACTGTATTGTCAGGCTTACAATACCCCTTCTATGTACTTTCAATATTACAAATACTATTATCATTGGGGATCTCGATCATGAAGAAAGCCGTACAATTCTAAAAGTTCATTTGAATCATTGTGCAAGCTTTCAAAATGTAGTCATCATCATAGTCTGGTTGGAAGTGGCTTGGTTTATTTTATATCTGCCATACATTTTAATAGGTATACATACATTGTGCATACAGTTATAATTCCTGTTCATAATGACGTTTGGCAGACATGGTTGAATATGAACTTCCATGGGTAGGATTGCCATCAATGGCAAGTAAAGGGTTAAAGTAAGATTAAACTAATTGTTAGGTGCTACATACAGGTACATGTACATGTACATGTTAAAGCATTTTTACCAAACAGTTTATTTCCCAACGAAATATCTTGAGTGACCAAAACTAAATATATTGAAGTATAATGTAGATTGATTGATGATGTAGCGACTAGCCTCCTACTCGTATGGGCTGAGAGCACCTCTAATCCCATCGACTTTAGACAAGTTACATGTAGGGTGTCTGGTGAGAGCTATTTTAAGCTTTTCAAAGATGATGAGAAGACCATATGGATTGTCATTGTTCCGTCATTAATGCTTCATTTACTCTGACTTTGTACCTGTACATGTACATGTATGTATCGAGATGTAAATGTTTCATAAATCTTATTTTGGATTAGTATCACCAACACAGTTTAAAGTGTAGTACAAGTACTTGTATTATTTTATTCATTTATTCATTTCTTGTAACACATTTACATGTTGGGTAAAGCTTGGTGAATATAAAACAGCTTGTAATAGGGTGTTTTGTAGCCGTTTTGTCAATTTTGAAATTAGCCCAAATCCATCATTTATTACTCTTGATTTTATAAATTATAGTTTGAAAAAAGCTTAACTGGATCAAAAATATTATTGTCTAAAACATGTATTCGATCATTTTAAAGATGCAAGAAAATTAATAGCACTTATTCAAAGAGTACACATATTGTACAGCTGCCTCTGACTTTATCCCTTCCTACATGTATTGAATGCTTGATCCTCATAATATAAACTAAGGCCCTTTTTTTCTGAAATGAAGTATTGAATGAATTAAACATTCCATTTATGTACAGTAGCTCTTGCATTTAACATAATATTATCGGTCCAGTTTTTTTTTTTTCTCTCTCTCTCTATCTCTGTTTGAATTCCAGGATGTTTTCTTGTTGTTTTAATAAACACTATTGAAGTATGTGGTGTGAAATATTCATGTAAATGTGCATTATAATCATGTCCAAGAATTTTGTTGTTATTTTATGGCTCATATTTAAACACAAATGAAATTTATACATGTGTATGTAGGACTGCTTATAAAATTTCCCTTCATTGCTATCCACATTATTCTCTCTCGCTACAAAGTGTATTACATTATAACAACCGTTTTTTTGGCTACATAAACCTGCAAATGAAAATTTCTTAATCAATTTTTGTTTGAATTTGTGCTCTGTTGTATTTTATCAAAAATTTATGAAATTTGGATGTTCCAATAGCAAATTGGACATGTATAAAGTTGTCAATATACTGCCTTGGTGCTCCTCATAGCGGCTTCATACAACACTGTACTAAAGCAGGAAAAGACAGCAACTTTTTCAATTTGCTTCATTAATTTTCTTCATTACAGTGTCATTTGCAGGTAAATTGCTCCATCCCAACTAAATATGATTTGATATGACGTTTTTATTACAGAAGTAAAGGTCGTTTGTGGATGTCTACTGGATGGGTAGCTATGCTGTTTGCACTGGAAGTTTGTGACTCTGTAGACGTCTATGGGATGATCTATGATGATTATTGCAAGTAGGTTATGTTCTATTTTTACACTTTATATGATGTGGTATTCTAGAGTTTAATACTGGCCCTGCGTTTTTTAGTTGGGATTGAATTGATCTGATCGCATTAATTCAACAAAAGTATAACATTTTACAAATATTATATGAATGACTAACAGAACATTAAATATACCTGTTCTGAGCCACCAAAACGAAAGTCTGAGAGTGAGACACACACAAAGTCAATCAGTTAGTGTGCCAGAAAGTGCACCTAAAATGATCAGTTCGTGTCACCTAAACTGTCAACCCTGTTTAGTGCATGCTATGGGAATGATATATCAGCTGTCTTATATTCTCAGAACTCTAATGTACTGAAGTATACATTGTCTTGCATTTGCCCAATCTTCTGCGCAGATACAAATCCTTCTCATGCATGTGTACGTTCATCCATTCAGACAAGGTGCATTTTATAGGATTCTGTAATCATCCTTCATACACCCGTATGTGTGGATATAGGGATAGCAAACAAGTGTGGGGAAATAAAAAAGGTACTCGGGATGCATGTTGACATGCCCTTTACTGTACATGTATGCCTTAGCCTGTCTACAGTGGTGGAAGCTTAGGTTGTTTTTCCCCCAGAAATTGAAACAACTTGCATGTACTTCAGTTTGGAAGGTACAAGAGGATGTGAGTGTGTGATAGGGAGAGAGAGGGACGAGAGAGTGAGAGAGAGAGAAAGAGAAGGAGAGAGGGAGGGGGCTATAGTCTTGACTGGACTATATAGGAGCTACCATTTTCGTTCAAAAAGAAAAACAACTAAGATGCAGAGATTTGATTGATCCAAATCACTGAATCGCAAGTCCTCCAATCAATTCGCAAGTTTTCAGTCTCTTTAATATCTCTTATGTACAACGTTGCGATTGATAACAACTCTTTGGACAGAATTTCTAGGACCTGTGAGCCTGACAGCCCTTTTTAAAATGTCAAAATTACGGGGTCCTGGCGTGGAATATTAGGCCCTTGTATCCCGGGTGCCTGGGAGTGTGGAACCCCGGCTACAGTGTTAAATAACACAATGAATTCAGTCTGAATTTGCTATGCATTTACATCATACATGTATGTGAGATGACAAATTATCCAGCTTGGTTGCCAACCTACATCAACCCATGCCAGTCACGTCCATCTGCTTAAAGATGGATAGAATAAGGTTGAGAAGAGAGTGCAGGCGTATCCTTACCGACAGTTCTGACAGTATCTTGGCTAATCCAATCTACAAATGTATTAGATCGTCTGTTTGGAGCAAGAAGGGCATTAACTCTGTGTAGAAGTAGACGAGTGAATGCCCTTCTGGCCCCAAACAGATGATATGATTGTCTGTCTTGTAGTTGGGCTTCGTCTATGATCAGTGTCTAGAGAACTTTGAATATTAAAGGTTAATTGTCTTGGTACATAATAGCCTTCTGGTTAGACAGTGAAACAGTGTTTGTGACTTTGGGTGATACATGTACATGTATATAATATTCAGCGATTCTTGCTCTTGCAGAAATTAGCAAATTGTCACCTGAGAGCCAGAAGGGAAATATAAGCTTCAAGTTTCAAGTTTTTATTGTTACACATTTTACAAAAGATATAGACATACATATAAAATGAAAAATTATACAATGCATGTAGTATAGATGGGCATGTCTCAATGATTCTCAATTCATAATAAATAGATTAGGTAAATGTCCTTAAACATTGAGATAACTTCTCCTTGCTTACGGCATACGTAATATATCACTGGCTGCCTGCATGAAGGGTGCAAGAGCTACCAAATATACAGTGGCATACTGTCATTGGCATTAACTGCCTTGTTGCTGGCAGCCAAGAACATGTACATGTACTTCTGATATACACTGTAGTGTATCCTTTTATTCAAAATTCAAATCCAATGATAGTGTAGACATATCTGGAGACATGTTGAGCCTTCCTTGTTACTGGAAGAGTGTGTCGTGTTTGCCTGTTCCCTCATTTCAATGGTAAGAAGCATGAGAAGAGCTTTCTATGGCTGTAAGTCTAACCTTTTAGCAATGATGAGGTGTGTGTGTGTAATAGATCGGATACATGTCCTGTTGAATTGTCAGGCATCATATCAGATGAGCTATCAGTTATGTTGTGTAGTTAGACAGTATAATTCCTTAACCCATAGACTTCTGAATGATCCTATTACATAAAGAACTAAATCATACATTGTACACCCATAAAAGGAGCCGTTTGGTTCTCGCATGCAGGCAGTGGTTTAATTTGATGTAAACATGTAGAACACAAAAATATTTTTTCTCAAGAAAATCATGCGTACATGTTTCGTTAAAGGGAGTTGGTAACATTGTTCAGATGAGAGAAAATGGTGCTAGTGAGTTCAATGCTAGGTGTACAATTAAAGATAATCTGAAAGTTTGAGTTAAAAAAGATCATTATTAATGATAAAAATTGGGAAAAACTGATCTGATCGCTCCTTAACTCTCCCAACTATATTATCACTATTTAGTTACATGTTAGGTGAACGAAATCGTCACAAAGCAATGAATTGCCTCATAAACCATTCCAGACATTTAAGTGTTGAAACATTTTTAAAAGCCTGTCCCATATCTTATTTTCATGGAAAAACGTTTGGGAAAACTCAAAAATGGTTTGGAGAATTTACTGTTAGAGGGTGTCGCACATTGACGCCTTCAAAGAAAACCATACATATCTTTGAGGTTTGAGAATTTGTTCAGGTTTTTTTGCTTGTTAGAGGGTTAGTACAGTAGAAGGAATATATTAAGTAACATACAATCATACAAAAATTCACCATTTTTTTTCATCAACCTTCAACAATGTTACCAAGTCATTTTCAAAGGAGCCATTTGGTTCTTGCAGGCAGTGGTTTAATTTGATGTGACTTTTAAATTTTATATGTAAACATGTAGAACTCAAAAAAACTGTAATTATCAAGAAATCATGTGCACGTGTTTCGTTAAGTGGTCATTGAGATGGAGGATGATAATTGCATTGATCGATATCTAGCTAATTGCATGTCACTTAGAGTGTGCATAGTGTATTGTAAATACGTTCAGATGGAGGCTGCAGAAGGTGATCTGTTAGGCGCAAGCGTAATTAAAGTTTAGGACAATTACAATTGTAATGACATGACACTAGAGTATAAAGGTTCAGCTGTTGGTGATATCAGCTATGCCTTTATACGACATGTAGGTCAATAGGCCCCACCTACATTTATGGTGAAGATAATGGTTACTGAGGCAAGCAAAAGGAGTAAATTTTAAGCTTCGACATGAGCTCAGACATGGTTAACATCCTTAAAACCTTCTGAAAATGGAAAACCTTTAACTTGTACAGTTGTATTAAGGTCTAGGCAATGTAGTGGATGGGGATGGGTTAAAACTACCAGTAAGGTTCTGTTCAATATATTGACGTGCTCATCATGAATTGACATCATTGTATTTAACATGGAGAAGAAAAAAAAGAGTTCTGCAGTTTTATGACATGGTCAATATTTAAGCGCGTGAAGCAAATAGCAATGAAATGTCAAATTCTTCATTGGCAGCTTTAATTTTATAGCCATGAACTCATTACCGGTATACATGTACACATGTACATGTACAATGTAGGTATTACCATTCTTGCCAATCAAAAATCTATAATTTTGCTTTCTACTATTGGTTCGAATAATTCTTTGGACGAAGAATGATTTTTTGACGATTATAGTACCTTCAAGATGATTCCCTTTGAGCTATATATATGTGTACATGTGTACATGTGTATTGTGTACAGGCCTGTATTCATGCATTCCTTCATGTACCAATAGCCTGGCATGGCTGCATACTAGCTCCCATCATGTACATGTACAGTATGTGACTCCAATGATCATGGTTTGAAAGTTGAATACTGAAGATCAACATTCATTCATGTAGCTAGGTTATTAATATCCAAGGCTATCGTTCTGAAGTTGATATGGGTTGGGAATGTCTGTATAATACATCTAGTACATGTACTCTACATAGTTTTTGTATGTGGCAAGGAGCCCTTGATAAATTAAGATGTAACACGATATCTGGCACAAATCCCATTTCTGTTTCAAACTGTTTTAAGACTGAATGTTTCATTAAACCCTTTGACTACCATTATTACATTTTTGTATCAAATACCCTTAGAAATGTGTTCTGAGATTGACGGGGGTTGGGGCATCCTGTTCCACTTTCGCATAGATTACCTACAAGTACAGCTGTAGTAGATGGACTCATTTTAGTCCATACAATGAATCTTTGTTTTGACGTTTATTTCCATAACAGTTAATTTTCAGGAAATAAAGCATAATCTACATGTACCTAGCTCATGTAAACTAGACATCATTCCACCGCTGTAAAGCATGTCATTTCATCTACCCGTATAGATGCTATTGATAATGTCTTTACAATAACATTAAAGGTAACCGAACCTCAAGAGATAACTTTACTTATTCTGAGAGATGTATTATATTATTTCCCATTAATCTGCAAGATTCCCCACCAAAGTGTATGAGAGAGGAATAAAGCAAGAATAATGTACAGTTTCTCAACACGACATGAACATCGATCGCCATTTTCTTGATAACGTGACGTACTATACAAAGTCGTATAGCAAGTTAATGTATTCAAATTTATGGATGCTTCCTTCCCAGGTGTGTGGGTGATGAAGAATTTCATTCACCTATTATCCTTTGTACTACGATTGCCAGAACGCAAATTGCATAAATAAGTTGGTGCTCTTTTAGGGTGAAGGTTTCTCATAAATGAAATAGATTTGTCAACTGCTATAGTGTAGTAAATACATGAATTTTGTTACAATTGTTCCCCTGTTATGTATTTTTCACCAAATATAATTTCTAACTTCTCAGTTATGATTTTTCTTCATCGAAAAGGTTTCATTATTAATTTGAAAATTCTTTTCAACTAAATTGGTGCATGATACATGTAGTCCTACAATTTCAACTGGTACGTCACATTTTCAAGAAAATGGCTGCGCCAATGTCATGCTAAAAGGCATCATTTCATGCCAGGAACATCTTCATTTATATTTCTCTTGTACATTTTCGTAGGGAATATTATACATCAAAGGGCAGGAATACATCTCACTTTCAGAATTCCTTCACTTATTCTTTGGGGTTAGGTTTCCTTTGATATATTGATGATGCATGCAAATGAGTTCATTTATTTTCATTATTAGATCTATCTGAACTCTAGTTTCGGCTACAGTATGCATCAACAAGAGACAAGATGCATCTTAAAAGGTGGATAGATCGTTTAATCAACAAAATCAAATTAAATCATACATCATTGGTTATAACAAAACTACTAGATCCTTGTAGTGAGATGTAACAAAAATTAATGTAAAGATTGTTTGGGACAAAAAATTCCAATTTAAATAGGCTTACTTTAGTTCACTCATATAGATAAATACACTTACCTCTATACTCATTTACACTCGGTGCTATGTTAAATCTCCTTGGTATATTAAAGCGCACTTACCTCTACAGCAATGCGGTGCAATGCATACTTAAAAAGTGTTGGATAGTGCTGGAACTATTGCATGTTTTTTCGTTAAAAAAACATGGGATATACGTAGACCCAGTTAATGAATCACACGTGACTGCGTTTGACCAATCATTCGATTAGGATCTAGGAGTGAGTTGTATAAAATTGAAAATAAAACTTTTCTATTTTCCCTCTTTGACAGAGAGCATCCCAACGACCAAACCTACTATCACTACTTTGATAAACTTCAGACGGAGTGCAAGTACTACGAGAAGAGCGAGAGGCGACTGACGTCTGGCCACAAGTTCATGACGGAGAAGGTGGCCTTTGGCCGATGGGCGTCCATGTATGACATCCGCTTCCACACACCGACGTGGGAGAACCACAAGTACAATCCCAAGGTCCAGAAAGAGACCGTCTTCCAGAAGGCTTATATGCAGTACAAAGAAAGGATGAATAACAGATCAAATGAAGATAAAGTGAATAGTTCTCTGGTGGTGCGTAAACCTGAGAACAACCAGAGAACTAAGACCAAAGAGGAGGTGAACAATGTACCCCTAGATACCAAGGGTGTCAGGACAGGTGGTGAGAAACAAGGTGCAGAGGAGGGCGTGGCGATATCAGATCATAAAGGTGCTTTAGAAGATGGTATTAAAGATGTTAAAGAAGAGGGGGTAGTGGTGGAGGAGGAGGAGGAGGAGGAGGGAGCTGAAGGAGAAGAGAGGGTGAGAGAACTTGATGCTGATTTGATAGAGGAGCATGTTCCTGAGGACCCTGCCGCATAGGATTCTGTCTGTCTGCTAGTTTAACATCCCTCTGCATTGGACATCCTGCAGTTATATGCACAATGACCTTCTGATCGAACCACCCCTTTTTATCAATGCTGCAACAACCTGGTGCCATACTGATCGTCTAATATTACAAACATCCTGGTGTTAGGGATTATTTATGAATGGGTAGAAAGCTGAAAACAAATAATGGAGATACACATTTAGCAGTTAAAATAACAATCAGATTATAAATTGAACCTCACCTGTCATGGATACAAATAGGTCTTTAATGTGCATTTCCTTAAAAGATTATTGAGTTTTCTCAGCACAGTATTTAAAGGGATTCATTCTTTGAGTAGAAGTACCAGGTAATGAAAATCCCTCCATTCGTAGCCATGCAGTTTTCAATATTTAAGCCAAGTCAATTTTGGTTCAAACTTCAGTTTAACTTCTATAGAATGATACTGAAATTGTGTAACTACAATAAGAATAAGATTACTCCAAGATTGGGGGAAATGGAAGGATCTATCCTTTTGTTTAGTGTATGGATGTGCTTTTTACATGCATATAAACTTTTGGGGCTGGCCATATACGTCATTGAAGTAACTATATATATAGCGATATACATTTTGCTATTGTACTAAAGGTATATATTTATACATGTATGTTTATCTACTTGAGTTTCTAACCTAATGCAATCACAGAGGAATTCAAGTGTTTCCGATACACACAATTTATTGCATAGGAAATCTTCCTGAAGTTGGAAGGCACCTCTCCTTATCAGTTAAGTGTGCTGTATGAAACTTGTGTCATATGACCAATTTTCTTTATTTATTTAGTATCAGAAGAACAAATGGGGCTTTCCTAATTGATTGTTTAGTATTAAGATGAAAAAGAGAAACCAAAGCTGTGAGTAGGGCTTATCACACAGTCCTGTACTCAGTTGAAGTTCAAACACCATTAATTGCTTGTGTCAATATGATTTAGCTTCATGACAATGTGTAGAGGTTTTGATAAGAGCCTAAGAGCTTCAGGTGTGCTGCTATGGTTGAATGTATTTTGTCAGACACTATCCTATTGTCTTACAGATTAACAATGAATAGCCATTTGATTCCCTTCATACTGATGATATGTAATCATGAACAAACAAAAAACAAACCAAAACAAACCAAACAAAAGAATACCAAAAATAGAAGAGAGAGAGAGGGAGAGAAGGCATGTAATTCTTGGATATTATTTATTTTGTAGTGTCCAAACATTACATAGGTGCTCACAAACACATTGAGTATTTAAGTAAAATGTATGTACACATCAAAAGATACATGCATGCAATGACCATTTAATATCTTTATTACTTGAATCTGGTGCTGGAGAGGAAAAATTACAAATATTCACAATCTTCATCTCTGTGCATGTTTACATACATGTACCGCAGACTTGCTGATGAGCATTTAGTTATTTTTCTTGACTATTTCTCATATAATTTATTACATTTGGAAAAAGGATGTAATGCTCTGGCAGTCATCACTAAGCAGCCAATTTGTATTAAATACGAGCTGAATTGCTTAAACATTAATCTGGATTTACCTACCTGCTTTCTGTATTAAAGACTCCTCATTGGATTGCCACTGCCAAGATAAAGTGGTGGTAGTTTTTGAATGACTACAGAATTTCTTTGCCTCTGCATAATCACTCATTTGCCAAAATTGCTACATGTGCATTTTTGCTGAATTATCAATTTCCAGTTTCTATTAGCTCCATGTCTCCATGACAACCCTTTTAACACCAGTGTAGATGTAGATTAATATTTCACTGGAAACAATAAGGTAGGATGAATACAAAGTGGCACAGCGACATTATATGCGTGGCATTATAATTGAATATTTGTTTGGAACATGTGACTGGAGTGTCATATTTTAGTTACATACTTTGATAAACATCAACAGGACAGAATATTTAATGTGTTCCTTCACACATTCAAATTTATTATGATATGCTGGAAATGTAGCCTAAAATGGAAAAATATTTGTTCATCCAACCTGACAGTATTATAAAGTTTTATTTATGGTTTATTTTCAAATGTAACTGCATGCAGTGTTTCAGTGACAATCAAGTATATTTTCATCACACTTAAATAATGTTCCTCCAACATGTCGTCCTTGTTTTCACGAAGTGACGGTAGTGAAAAAAAATTGCATTCACTTTGCGTTACGATTTTCCTCACTACCGTCACTTCGTGAAAACAAGGACGATGTGTGCCCAATGATTCTCATAGAAGTACATGTACGTTCTTGATACAGAGGGATTGTATTATGTGGAAATTGTCTTCTGACATACCATAATTGTTAAAATAGAACTCTTTAGATTCAAAATTTCAAACATTTATGAAGTACAAATTATACCAGGCATCAAACAGCATAGACCAATGTGCATGTACATGTTCCCATGTATAATTTGTTCATGGTTTATAGACAATGCAATGTAAAAACAATTTGATATAGGAACAAATTAATGAAATTGCAATCAAAACTTATTTATTTCATCTCTTGCCTTTGATACTAAAATAGAAAGTCACCAAATTGATGAATATTATAAATTATGTAAACAAAAATTGTTGATTAGCTTTATCTCTTTGATTGGACTTGTGATACGCCAGTATTAATGATAAATATTTAAAATTATGTAGGCAAAAACAATTCCTTTGCTTTATCTCTTTGATTGGACATGCGATACACTAATGATAGATATATTGAATTATGTAATAAAAAAACTGTTGATTTGCTTTTTCTCTTTGATTGGACTTGTGATACACCAGTATTAATGAAAAATATTTTAAATTATGTAATCAAAAACAATTCCTTTGCTTTATCTCTTTGATTGGACATGCGATACACTAATGATAAATATATTGAATTATGTAATAAAAAAACTGTTGATTTGCTTTATCTCTTTGATTGGACTTGTGATACACCAGTATTAATGAAAAATATTTTAAATTATGTAATCAAAAACTGATTATTTGCTTTATCTCTTTGATTGAACATGAGATACACCAGTATTAATGATAAATATTTTGAATTATGTAAACAAAAACTATTAATTTGCTTTATCTCTTTGATTGGACTTCTGATACACCAGTATTAATGATAAATATTTTAAATTATGTAGGCAAAAACAGTTCCTTTGCTTTATCTCTTTGATTGGACATGCGATACACTAATGATTAATATATTGAATTATGTAATCAAAAACTGATAATTTGCTTTATCTCTTTGATTGGACATGAGATACATCAGTATTAATGATAAATATTTTAAATTATGTAAATGAAAACTATTAATTTGCTTTATCTCTTTGATTGGACTTGTGATACACCAGTATTGATAATAAATATTTAAATTATGTAAAATTAATCAAAAGCTATTAATTTGCTTTATCTGTTTCATTGGACTTGTGATATACCAGTATCAATGCTTGTTCCTGATAGCTAAATATATTCCTCCTCTTTTTTTGTTACAGCAAGACTTGTTTTGTATTGACATAAAGCTGAATAGGGAACAGGGTTACTCATACTACTCAGATATCCATGAAGTTTACATCATGTTCAAGATAAACCAAAGAGTATAGATGTGTGTATCATTAGGCTGCATAACGCATATAGTCCATTTTAAAGAGAAGGTTGAGTTCTGGGAAGAGGTGAAAAATAATTTGTGAGCGTTGTCATTGTTATTATGCAAGTGTGGAAGAACATCAGATAAAACATTTTCTCTGAAAAGCATGGCTCTTCAAATGCCTTCACATTCTATGGCATGTAACAGCATACAAATCGGGACAGATTTTTATGCCACATTTTCATGTAGTCCCATATACATCTTTCTGTGTACAGTGCTTGTAACTTAACCAAGACTGGGCCAATTTTTTTATCATTTGGATGATTCCAGAACCTTGCAGTACACACCAATACTTCATGCTAGATGATCATCCTTTTCTGATTTATTCCACACCGCTTCTTACAATATGCAATCGCATGACCAGAACTCAACTTTATCTTTAAATGAATTTATTATACATATATTTAGTATAACGCTCTGCATTATTATAGAAAATATTAATGTCTTTTGTTTATGTGTATTATACAAATCTGTTTTATTACATAATTGTGTTAGTAATTTAAAAAAAAGGAAAACATCTATGTATATTGTAAGTACGCATTGCCAATGTTAATGTTTGTGCTTTATCATAACAGTGCTATAATTTGACTTCACCCCACCCAATAGTATTGGTGCATGCAAATCTCATGATACATTTATACATTTTATGTAATCTTATAATCACTATATCTATTTAGGGTTGTGTCAATTGTGTAGTCCATAATCCCATATTTCATTTCTGTATAGAAAGAACAAAACAAACAAACCAAAAAAGAAAAATATTTGAGACACACTTATTTCATTCTCAATGTTATGGGACGATACACAAATACATTATCTGCACTAATATTTTGTTTTCAGTCTTCCTGATTCAAAGGTATGCATGCGAAATGCATTTGAAGAACTAAGACAAGAAGAAATAAGAACTTTATTTTGTATTGCTACTGCAGGAATACATAAGAGCAAATGATACTTTATCCCTTGTCTCTCTTTCTTTCTGTGTCTCTATGTGTCTCTGTCTCTCTTTCTCTCAGTCGGTCTGTTTCTCTCTCTCTCCATATACATATATACATTGTATCTCTCTCTTTCTTTCTCTCTCTCTCTGTGCCACCCCTCCCTCCCTCCCCCCCCCCCCTCTCTCTCTCTCTCTCTCTCTCTCTTCCTATCTGTGTGTGTCTCACACGATAGTACCCTTCTCCCTCCCTCTCTCTATATCTTGCCCTCTATGTCTCTCATCTGCTCTCTTCCTTTATTATCTTGGAAGAGCATTGTCATTGTTCATGAACAAAAGCTGGAGATTATATATCTATGATATTTATGGATTTATGTACCTTTTTTTCCTTATCTCTTCAGTTTGTAATATACTGTATGCTTGGAGCCAGACATACATTAACTCATTCACTTTAACACAGAGCTTAGGCTCTTAAAAGCGTCTAGTTGGAGCCAGAAGGGAATTTACTCTTATACGTTAACACATAGTTAACACCCTTCTGGCTCTGAGCATATATTATTGTAAATTCTTCTGTGTAGATGCTATAGAACTGAATATATGAACCTATTGTCTTGAATATTCTTCATACACTGTACATGTAGGTTTGACAATCGTTTGAATTGTATTTTAAATGTGAAGTGCATGATCTTTACTTTATTCTACCAAGATGTTGTGACCCCTTTCTTTCAATGTATATAGAACCTTACAAGTTGATTGATGATCAATTCCCCAGTAGTTAAACATTATCAAATTATATTATACCATATAGTTTGTAGAAAGCATGATTTTGTTGGTTTGTAGTTGAAGCCTTTTCCTTTGGGTTTATTTGAAGCGGAGGTCTACCCTGGAATGGAAACCTACCAGTGAGTGTTTGTTGAAAATCTGATAAAAGATAACACAGTTATGAAGTTTGATAACTTGGATTAATCGAACACAAATCAGCAACTTTGTTCACCTTCCTCCAAGCAGGTCTTCATTTTTTTCATAACAAAGCTTCATAAAGTTCTATTTCCTCTTTACCGGTAATGCTTTTACTAAGCATTAAAGTAACTTGATGCCATGGTTTACTTCCCCTTTTGAAAATGGAATTATGTTTACTCTTCATGTAACATTCCCTGTACATCTCGTTGTCACTTTGCTTTTGATAAGTAATCTCTCTCTCAGTACTTGAACTAAAGGAATGTTTCTGTACTAGTGCCTTGTAATGGTAACGTGTATTTCAGTACATCTTTTTATGAGTGCATGGATGTTATGTGTAAATCCAATTATTGTATTTCCTTGTTTCAGGTCTTGTAATGATCCCATGTACATATATACCACTTGTGGTATTGACTACCGGTAGTTTATCGATTCCCCTTAGTTGTGAACATTGGCACTGAATACGTTAATGATATACTGTGCAGTATTTGTTTCATATAAACAAACTCACTTCCCACTTCACAAGCAGCAGCCTTTTCACACACAGCTAAAATTCATCGTTTCCAGAGATGATTAGAATCACTCAACAGTTTTCAACATGTTTATAGAAATTTTTTCCCAGTGTGAACATCGTTTATACGATGTTGGGATAGATACGAAGTCGCGATCCATACGCCCCTAAAAGCAGGCTGCCGATACGAAGTTTGTATCTAAAGAGCTTGACATTTTGTGTGTGAAAGTTTTTTCGTGTTTAAACGTGTTTAAACTGTATGGAGTGACCGCTCTGTTTGATATGACCTGACCTTCAATGCGCAATGGCACTACTGCGCATTTTACGAGCAGTAGTTAATCACGAAACGATTAACGATCGCAACGAAATTTCTGTGTGTGAAAGGCTCGTGATTAGTTTAAACACGTTTCAAACACGTTTATACTAATCATGTTTATAAAATTTTAGCTGTGTGTGAAAAGGCTGAAGGATGCAAATATGATGATAATTGCCTACTCATCTAATCTAAATTGATAATC